AGAAAGAAAGAAAGAAAGAAAGAAAGAAAGAAAGAAAGAAAGAAAGAAAGAAAGAAAGAAAGAAAGTGCTGCAAGCTGAAGTAGTAGGCAAGTATTTCTAAAAGATTCTCAAAATATTTATCAAACAATTCAGTACCTTCCATTTTGAAATGAACAGAGACAAAACATATATTAAAACAATCTCATGAAATCAGCATGTTTCTTCCCATTGCTCTTTAGCCTAAACCCATTCCAATAATTCTAAAAAATTCCATCAATGACATTCTTATTGCTATTGTTGGCAGAAGGGGATTGAGAATAAAAAAATTCAAGTTGAAGCAAGTGTCGTACTCACCCTCTGTTAAAACCTGTTTTAGGAATGATTGCTTGAAGAAACTCCAAGTCAACCTTGCTTCCTTCCAGTTAACAATATCCTGAAAGATATAGAAATAATTAGGTATAATTAAGTACCCTGTCCCATTTTGTCTGGGTTTAAAAACAGCAGTTGGCCCCAGTTAATACTTGGACGACAAGCCTCTCTGGAACACCAGGGCTAAGAAGGCTAAAAAGAAATCCTGAAAGAAAGTAATAGCTAGCATTCAACTTCCAAGAAAACTCCAGGAAGTCATTGAGAGTTAAGCTTGATTCAATTTACTGTACTTTGATATACCAGTCAAAATATTACATAACACAACCTCTGAAACAAAAACTATTTAATTAAAACACTATATTTAATTAAAACAAGATTTTAATTAAATAGAAATACACGCATACATTTTGCCTGTTCTTGGTCTAGTTTCTGTTATATTTTCTGAAAGTGTTAATGTGAAAGACTCTTCATTTTTAGAGCTATATTTTAATATGCAGCTCATAGAAATGTCTTCTATTATAACATCTGAACTGTTCACCAGAAGATTAAAATGCAGAAATTTTAGCTTACGCAGGTGTTTTCATATTAGAATTAACTATATATTTCCATAGTAAAATAAGCGTCTTTGGGCTAGAGGTTTTCTACACTTTTCTGAAAAATGATCTGCATGCAGGATCATTGAGTTAGCGCAGCTATTAGCAAAGCCATTTTCTGTACAATATAACATAATTATTATTTCTAAAAGGTACAATCATTTCTGGATCTAAGATTTGCTTACATAAATAAAAATCCACTAAATGAACTTTAAATCTAATATCAAAATGATTAAAAATGTATTTATAGCAACCCCAATCTTTTCTTCTCTGAAACATTTCAGAATTATTTTAATAGTTTTGTTCTGTGTCAAGTTTCATTAAAATCAAAAGATTTTAGTGACACAAATATTAAAACAATGGACTTCACTTCTTTTTATCATAGGTTTCTTAATTCTGTTTAAATTTAATATATCTACCCTGCAGTTTGTTGAGCACATTATACACTTGATAAATCAAAATTTTGAATTCATATAAGTCATCTTGGATATGATATTTGTATAACTTTAAATATAAAGCATGATGTAGGATTATGCAAAATAACTGTTTCATAATCAGAATATTAATTTAAGTATACAAATTGGTTACACTCTTTTTGTCAGGCCTGCAGTTATATACCTTTTAGGATCTTTGGCCTGCCACACTCTCTATTATTTTTCCATGCTGTTTCATTAGTGTAGTAATTGGGAGGGGAAATAGTAAGGAGTAGAATTGTAGAATGTGTTGTTGTCATTCCTTTCTAGAAGCCCAAGGTCATTCTTTGTCTCTGCACCTGACCGGAACTAGATAGGTGGAAATGCCAGCGTGGCAGAGGAAGATTGGACCATGTGATGAACTTGTGGGTGTGGGGACAAGATATTGAACTTTCAACTGGATGAACACCTAGGAAGTTTTCAGATTCGGGATTGCCACAGATGTGCCAACATGTCTCTCTTATTAAATTGGAAGTTTAAGGATAGTTCTGCCTTGGACTCTGATTTATTTCTGGATGATATTTGGAACGCTGACACTTTTATAATTAAGAATATATTGTGGATTTAAACTAACAAGCCACTAGAAACATGTTTTATAAAATAAATCTAAGTTCAGTGATATCATTGAAAGGTTTTTGCTTATAGGGTTAGCTCTTGTAGTTATTAAGCAGTTATTCTGGGTCACTAAGCAGACAGAGTCCCAGGTAAGGAACACAGGGTACCTTAAGCATTGAGGGAGACTTGGGGTGGGGGTGGGGTCCACTGACTTTGTGGAGAAGCCAGCAGAGAAGATTGCTAATAGTATCATATGACTGTGGAACATTTGGCAACCAATCATATGTTGTACAGGTTGCCAAGCACTCAGACCGATCACCTATCTATGGAGGGGTATGTGCAATGCTTTCTGATAATTGTAAAAGCTTTATGGGCCATAAAACACTGTTTCCAAAGCCGTTCTAACTTCAAGCATTCATTAAACAATCAGACTTAAGTCAAGGACTATTTATATTATAAAAATAAAGTTTGCAAAAACACAGCTGAAACATATAACGTCTCCAGTACCACAAAAACTACTCAATAAACAAATGACCACTGATGCTAGTTAATTAAATGTTTTTCTCACATTTCCTCTTTCCCATCTTATATGTAGACAGTAGGCTGGACAGTATAGGATGGACAGATGGTTACTTTGTTAGGGGTCACTTCTTAAAGTATAGAAAAACCTTAATGCACAGAAATGGTGTAGGGAATAAGAAAGATGGCCTTGACAGGAATTTGCAGGAAATGTTACTTAGGCAAATGGGCCAAAACATTTTTATGTCCAGAATAACCAGATAACATTTGAAAGTGAATCAAGCAAATGGCTCCCTAAATTACTGAAAGAAAATGAAATACAGACTGATCAGAGTGCAAGATTCTGTTAGGTATCCTTGATAAAAATATTGTTTTTATAGCAATATTATTATTTTGGAAATCTTTTCTTTTGTTTATTTAGGTCTCACAAAAAGCCTAAGAGCAAAAATGCCTCAGCCCATTTCAGGTGCCGATTTTTTTTATTTAGTAATATTGAATATCCAAGTCATAAATGATCTTACTATATAACAAAAATGTGCACACAGGATCTCAAGTATCATATGCTTGTTTTTTCAAGCAATAAAATATAAATATTAAAAATGTAATTAACTGAAACCTGAAAAATGACTGTGAAACTAAAATTGATTAACAGCTAACTGGTAAATATATCATACTTAATCTAAGAATTTATGAGGACAATTTGGCCAATCATGAAAAACAAACATCTTGTGCCAAGAAGTTATCTGATTATTTTTTGTTGTTGTTAGACTTACCTCATTTTGTCCCAAAGCAGGTAAAAAAGATACCATTCTAGTAATAGGAAAGGATTTTTTGGTTGCTTCAGGAGAACCCAAAAATTTCGTGAAATATATTATATAACACGATACTAGAATGGTAGTGTATAAAAGCTGCAAAGAAAAATAATTCATACAGGTTTTATTGTCAACATAGCAATGCAACAACATTCTTATTTGAACAGCAACAAAAGAGTTGGCAACATTCAAAAGTCATGCAATAACATCTACTCCGATCCTGCTTAAGGATCAACATGGTGAGGCAGATGTCAAGGGCCACAGGATGCAAACAGTATGACTTTTCTCTAGGGGGAACCTATCAACCTCAGTTTTCAGTTCAACCTCATGTGTATTTGTGAGCACTCACCTTAACTTGAGCCAAGAAATTTAAGATGATGAGAGGAATGCTGTAAGTAAGTAATTTAATGCTGAATTATTTTCAAGACTAACCCACCCCTTATGTTCATCATACCTCCTTGGCAGAGTAAAACTGGCACTTCTGCATAAGACACAAGCATATACTAGCTTTCCATCCCAATTATCCATCATGCTAAATTAAAGGTTATATGTGTCTAACATGCACAGGGATATAAATATATTTGTTTGTGAACACCATTAATCCACATGTGACTTAAGAAAAACATGCTAGTTTCTACAACCAATTCATATGATATAACCAATAAATGGAAATAAAGCAAGGAGAAAATTGTACCTGAGCCAAAGAAAAGATATAGAGTCCCCAGTGTGGATATAAAACTACTAGAAGAACTGTCAAAAAGCATTTGCAAATGATTGACAAACTCTCAGCAATCACCTGTAAAGAACAAAGATACAAAGATACATACAAAGATCTTATCAGAAACTCAACTTCCTAATACTTATGTGTCAAATTAAAAAAACATGGAATCCAGAATTCTCATATTGAAACTTTTCTACAAATATGCAGCTCTGAAAAGCCATGGATACTTTCTATAAGAGCAGAAACTTCTCAAACTACATTTTTTCTTTAGGATGAAATTTTTCACTTGTTTGGGTATCCATATCCTCTGTGCCAAAAACAATGAATTGAACCTCAATTAAATTATTCTTGCTTTGTTTCAGGAAAATCAGAGTGTTATCAGGATTAAAAATCCTATAGATTTCAATGAACTCTATATAGTTGAGTTGAGTTCATCACTCAATGATGAACAGGTAAAGCAATACTCTGAAAGAAATCTTATAGTCCCAAATGTTTCCATGTCTGCAATGATGGCTCTCTATTTTAAACAACACCATCATCAACTTTTAAAGGGAAATAAAAACAATTGCCAAAGATGAAAAGGAAGAATCTTCATGTACTTCATGGTTATGCAGAAGTGGCTTCCGCAATACTATCTCTGTGTAAACCTCATTTTGTCAGTGCAACAGTACTTCTGCCACTTCTGCTTAGCTAGTCTAATGTAATGGCTAAGATGCTGACTAGAAACCAAGAGATTATGAATTATAGCATGAGACCAGAGGTGTGACTTTCTCAGCCCAACACATTTCATGGTGTTATTGTTGTGAAGAAAATAAGAAACAGAAGAATTATGTACATAATGTACATACATTATTGCTTTGAACTGTACAAAAATAAAAGGTGGTATTATTATCATATACATAACAATGTGAAATTAAAGCTGCCAGTTCTTTAGCTGATGTTGGCCTTCATTCATATCAAGTTCTTCCCAGGCTGTCATAATTTATATGTGCAGATCCAAGCAGTGTGGCTTTTTGTTTCTAACATTGGAGATTTTATCAATAGGCAGATTTTCTAAATATTGTCCAAGGCTTTTGGGTATAGTACCCAATGTGCAATAACCATTGGGACCATCATTGTCAGTTTATGCCATAATCCTTCAACTTCAATTTTCTGATCTTGATACTTTGTGATTATTTTGTAACTTTGTATTATGTATGGTTCATTCACAGTCAGCCAGATATTCAGATTTATTGTTGTTGATATGGTTATTATTAATTATTTCATCAATAAGACTAGTGCATTTAAGTTAATAAGTATAATCTTTATTGTAATTGTACTTAAAAACAACAAAATTGGTTATATAGGTTAATGTAGTTTAATCAGTAAATCAATACTTTGCCTATAAGAAAATGTCAGAATATATGTCAGAATAAAGATTTTTTTAACTTCAGACATCTGCTTGTTACTATAATTTTAAAAGAAGCAAGAAATACAATTTCATATAGTTTCACTAACCTTTAGCCGTACAAGTAAATGTATTTGAGCTAAAATCCAAAAAGGTTCACCCAGGAGTTCAATCACAGCGGAAAGACAAAAAGCAAGTACTCCAAAATTATAGTAAGGAACTGCATTTTCATTAGGAACTTCAAGTATATCTAGCCAGATCCAGCCCAGGAACACACACCAACATATGCCCAAAGGAACTCTACAAAAGTTAAGAAGATGAACCATTAAGCCAAAATTAATAACTTGCTCTTTTCTCTCTTCAGTGTGAATTCTTAGAAAAAAATCTGCATCCAGTTTTAGCAAACCAAGGGTAAGTACAATAAACTTTAAAAGTACATGCATCTGTTTTTTCCTACATCTGCAGAAATAAATTATTTCTGTAGTTTAATTACAATATTTCTTGGAGTGCATTACAACTTACAGGGTTTTTGCATACATATTTATTTGGGAAATCTATACTTTTCATCCTGTGCTTCAGGGTAGGAATGCTCTTTGGAAACTAATAACCCAATACAAAAAGCAAAAAAGGAACAGCACAAACAGCAAATTTTGCAGGTGTTATATGCAAATATGCATGAATACAGATACAAATACACACACAGTGTGCTTTTATTTGCTTCTTCGCTCACTAAAAAAGCCAGGGCACTTATATTTCTTTGACTAAAGCAGAGTATTATATAAAAGTTCTAGTCTTTCCCACCAGCACTGACTTTCCAAAGTTTATTTAACTTGGGAACATTAGCATTGCAAAATTGGTGATTGCTTTTTTTTTTTCCAGCCAGTAAGGCAAGAATTATTCCAAAGCAAATCATTCTCATGCAAGAGCTGAATAGCAGCTTTTCTCAATTTCTCAAATGTGGTTTATGGGGATGTGGTAATTAATATATGCAATTAGAATTAAATTAGAATTAGGTAAATTAAATTACCTAATTAAATATGAGGTAATTAATATATGCAATTAGGATGAAACTACTACAGATAAACTAAGATGTAATTTAGGTAAGTATTAAGTCCCTTAACAATTTCATAGCCTACCTTGAGGGACTCAACTGTCTGTTTCTCCATGCAATCATGATTTCAAAAACAAGCTCCTATACCTTTTCAAAAGTTCAAACAACATTGCAGAAGAACTGCAGAAGAAAGTAACTGAAATGTTCAAATGAGTAATTTAAACTTACGTTAGCCATAATAGATTAAATGTTTGTGTCCAGTTTCTCCTTGAGCTCCCACTCAAACAAGCTTTACGGAATGCTTCTCTGGCTAAGAAAACTATTGTTGAATAAAGTAGCGTCAGTCTAATATTTTGGAAGGGAAGGGAAAGAAAAAAGAAAGAAAAGGGGAATTTCAACAATTGATAATTTTATTTTATTGTTATTGTTTATTATATTAACTATGTAACTATTATAACTATCAATAATATGTATCAAAGAAGATTTGATTACTTAGGGGATTACTTACTTATCAATTGTGAATTGCACTCACCCAGGTTCACATGCAACCTGGCCAGAGTCATAAAATATCATGGAAGTTGTGCCAGACACAAACTAGGCATTTGAAATTTTAATAAGCTCATAAGTCATTTACCACCTGCTCCCTATTTTTAACAGAGGAAATATGAACTGCCCAATATGTATTTTCAAGTTACTTACATTTCAAAATACTTAAGTTTTAGTCTTTTTTTAAATTAACATTTTAATTAATCTTTTATAAATACATAGCTTTTAAAGAATTCTTAAATTTACAGTAGCTGTTAAAAATCTGAGATGGTATCAAAAATTTCAGTGAAGTTTTTTCCTATTTTACTTTGCTTTCATATATTTTGTGAATTGGGAATCTCATTTCTGCAAAATATAACAGCTAGAATCTATATTCATGCTTGGTACTGAACCCTAGATGTTAGCTTAAGTTTCTTTTTTCTGGATCTTATCTAAGTTATATTTAAATGTTATACTAAGTTTCTTAGTAACACTATTAATTACAAAAAATATAATCTTACAATATTTTATCATTTTGTAAGCAATTGTAACTCACATAGTATCAAGAAAAGTGGAAATGGTTTTTATTAATTTATACCACAGATTTATGTATGTATTTCCACTGTTTATTTTTCACCTGCCTAAAGACAAGTTTCTTGAGGGTTTCGTAATAAAAATTAAAATCAGGAAATATACAAAATGAAAACCATAAAGCAAAAGCACAGAGAAAATATTATTCAATATTTTCTTAGGTCTCTCCTAGAGTTCTATTCTTTCAGCTGTAATTTAAAATAACCGCAGGTAAAGAATAGTACATTAAAGCACGAGTGTCAAACTCGCAGCATCACATTGACGTGACGTATCGCGATATTTTTCCCCTTTGCAGAGCTGGGGTGGGCGTGGCCTGTGCATGACACATTCAGCCCATGGGCTGCCAGTTTGATACCTCGTATTAAAGTATTACTAAGTCTGCATCAACTTACACAATAGCATTCTTTTAAAGGTAGAAATGTATTTTGGACATATGACTGTTATTTTTCAGGCAAGGTTTTTGTGAATTAAGGGAAGGTAGAAAAACTAGTACATTTGGCAATACCTGGTGTGCAATTAAACCCAGTATATTTCACATTTTGAAATAATAAAAATGCGACCAAATTTCATTTCAAGAATAACTCAGAACTACTGAATACCTATTAAAATCAGGAGTGACTTTGCAAACATAACATTTTCAAAACCACTAGATATTTACATAATTTAGAGGTAAAGGCGTTTATTCAAAAAACTAAATCACAAACTCAAATTTGCATTTATACATCAGTGCAGAGCTTGATTCCTTCATACAATTCAAAATATGTACTTGCAGAATCATGCCAAGAAGCAGAAAATTAAGTAATTTATCCAAATTTATTCCAGAAAGAAATTAGAGAGCAAGCTATTATAACCATGAATATGTCATGTTTTTATAAAATGATGATTTATTACCTTACATTCACAAGACCAATTATTTCTTTTGATACATAACGTAAAGTAAAAGCATTTAAGCCAAACGTAATTAGCCGGAATAGCACCTGCAAAAAGAAAAGTGAAATTATTCAAACATTAACTTTCAGACTGTAAGATTTCAACATTTGTTTAGATTTTTGGCCTACCTTTTGTTCAGAATTTCATCTTAACACTATGATCTTATTTCCACTAAATAACAGTAAACCCTTCAATTTGTCATCACTCAAGAGACATGTAGGATTGTTTCCTTGTTCTAATAGTGGAAGTTGGATACTCCAAAAATGCTGCCTATAAACTTTTACTACAAACTCAGTAATAACTCTACAGATACTTATATTTCATGTATTGATTATACATGTGAGAGCAAGCCCTTATAAGGGAGTTAAGTCTAATTAACGTTCTCAGCTTTAGATTTAATCACACTTATAGCACATGAAACACTTGGAACGCATAAAACTTTTATTAGTTTAATTTGTAATATTACTAACATTCATCAAAATAAAATCATTAACTTGCCTTACCAAATAAACCTTACAGCATGGAAAAGAGCAATCCTACTGTATTATAGGATGTAGAACAGAATGGTAAAATCTGAGCATAATAAAAAGCTTTTGCAAAAAGGTATCAGCATTATTATTAGCTTTTATATGAAGTTCTATATATGGCAATAGAAAATAATTACACACAATATTGTCATTACACCTTGGCTGTAATGATTCTTAATTTATTGCCATACAGCTACTGAACTATGCTGTTTGTTCAGATTAGAGCATAACCCAATCTGTAGGGCAATGCTTTAGCCTTTTCAGGATGACTCTCCATCAGTTGTTTAAAGCTGAGTCTGTCTCTATTACTTGTATCAAAGAATTCTTCTATATAACAAGAGTCCTTTTTTCCTGGATTAGGCCTACAGATCAGGCAGCAGCAGTTTTATGGAAATTGCTCGATTTAATTATTCCAGACATAGAAGCTCAACAATGTAGCTGCAAGTCATGCACAAAATGCACAAAAGTGGGGGGAACGGGACTCTGAAATAACCACAATGGAGGAATGCCTGATGAAGATGATAAAACTTGCAGAGATGGCAAAACAACTTGCTTAATTAAAGTAAAATCAATAACTACATTTATCAGTAACTGGAAAACCCTTCTGGCCTTTCTGCTGTAAAAAGTGAAAAATGAACTTGTGATTTATGAGGCCGAGAATGAGAAAGAATAGCTTGTGGGAACAAGGAAATTATGAAATAATCTTAGAGAGGGTAAATATAAAGGCATTTATACCACTGTCAAAATGATCATAAGATAATCTTTATATTCTTTTCTTTCTTTCACATTATTCTTCCTTATTTTGTTTCTTTTCTAATATTTGCATTTTTATCTTGTTAAAATTGTGTGTGTGTATATATGCATATCAGTGACGTGCGGTGAAGACGAGGAGGAGTGAGGCGACGGCGGTGGCTCCTCAGGGAGTCAGTGAAAGGGTGCCGGGCACAGCTTGCAGCTGCCACCACACACAGGCCTGGCTTGGGCAGCAGAAGTTGTTTTCCAAGCCACAAACGTGTTTGTGCAAAACATCAACAAGAGGGAGAAGCTCCCGCTGCTTTCGGGTTTGCTGCTAATTCAGCGAGTTCGAAGATGGGAAGAGAGTCCGGAGGCTCCACTGCCCCCGCCGTTCTTTCCGTCGGCAAAGCAGCAGCCCCAGGTGCCCCAGCCCGGACCCCGGCGTGCCAGCTGGCAGCCCAGCTCGCCCTGCCAGCCGTGAGCAGCACCTGCCGGCCTTTCTTGGGCTCCGGAGCAGCTCCTGCTTCCTCCTCCTCCCCTCCCCCCCCCCCCCCCCCCCGGCAAGAGGCAGCGCAGATCAGGGAAAATGCTTATCTTTTGAATGCATGTATCACTAAATCCACTTATGGTACCTATCTCATTGTCAATTGTGACTAAAATGATAACATGAGATCATAAGAACTTGTTTGAATGGCAAACAATTCTCTGAAATGAGAACCATCTGACTCTTTGCATTGAATTGAAGATTTAATAAATTAGCTATTCAATGTGAGAAATAAAGAAAACAAGAGCATAAGAAGAGATACAATATGACAGGAACAGCTCTAAATCCAATAGTAAGTATTTATCCAAAGAATGTGATGCCGATAAGCAAATTTCTCTTAGGCATACATTCTTTGTTAGGCCTTACATATTCTGCCATTTGCCATAAATGTTTTTATGGTATATAAATAACTATTCAGTTATTTCAACAAATAGTTTTTATGAAGTACATTCTCAGATTAAATTCAAGGGATTTCTGGGAAATGTCAAATATGCAGATGACAAAGAGATAAGGGGAGCCAAAGCATCTTAGAGGATAGTATCAACATTCAGAATGATGACAAACTGAACAAGAAGCAGAAATCAGCAAGATTAAATTCAATAGAAAAACAATGCAGAACAGCTGAACAGGAAGTGAGGGGAAACCCTCAAATATAGTGTATGCAGGGGAGACTATATAGGCCAGCAATATAGACAAAAAGGACTTGATGTCTTGATGAATCACTTTAGGAATGACACTGAAAACTAGAATGTATCCATTGGAGACCCAAAGGCACTTTTTTCAAAAGGCAACTGGACTTTCTTGGGGGCGGTCTTTGAAAATGTTTTGCTTTTCACCCAAGAAGCTTCTTCAGTTCTAACTGACTGTTGGTGAATGACTGTTGTAATAAGTCCAAAGTCAATGGATATGAGATGGATGGCAAACAATTTTCATAAATAAATAAATATTTCCCCACCAAGAGAGTTCAGTTGCCTTTTGGAAAAAGCACCTCTGGGACAACCATGACCTGAATGATTCAGAATCTCAATAGACATATATTGAAGAGGAGAGCAATTATGATGTGAAGGGCATCATGTCCTGGAACAATGGGGGAATGCTGAATAAGTTTATCCTGGAGAAATATTCTGGGAACGCATAATAGCTATTTTCAAGTCTCTCTCTCTCTAGGGCTGTCCCATAGGAGACAGGGCAGAACTGTTCAGAGTTGCTCCAGGACACAAGAAACACTAAATTTAGATTACAAAGTAGGTTTCAGCTGACCATCAAGATAATTTTTTTAAGAGATGCTCAACAATGAAACAGGCTGCCCTATGAGGTAGTGGG